CCGATTTGAATCATTTGAACAATATATTAAAAATGACTTTCTACTTGATACAAAAGAGAATTTCTATAATTTATATAGTATATACATAGAGATTTTAGAAACAAAGATTTACATTTTATAGAATATAACTTGTTAAAAACTTATTATAAAGCAGATTATATTATTAAATAAGTTTTAGAATTAATTCAATTAAACTTATTTTAAAATTCATTTCTAAATCTTTACAAAAAGATATATCAATGTTAAATATTAAAATCACATACAACTTTTTCTAATAGTTTTTTATTATTATATATAAATTATTATAAAAGGAATTAATAAATTAAAAATTAAAAAATAGAATTATTAATTAAAACTTAGAGAAGGGATTAATATAATTTTTATGAATCATTTTAAAAACTAAAATTAAAAACAAATGTAAGAATACTCTAATGTTACGATGGTCTGCCACAATAGACGTCACGTGACCCCGACGCTTAGGTAACCGGATCAGAGGGATCATTTGTGATCCGACTGAGCACAGAGAACGAAGGTCTATATAAAGGAATGGGTTTCATTACAGTGTAGAGCTTCGTGCTCAAGAACAATCATTAGTTTCATTACTATAGTTACGAGAATTGCAACCAGTTACAACCTTATTGAATTCCTACTTGAAGTCTAGTCTAAACCACCTCGAGAGATCTCTAGACACTTCCACGTGACCCTAGAGGCAGCTCCCGTAACATCTAATTATTGTTACGCCGGTCCATCCTCGGTACCGCGTCACATGACTCTTAGCACGTGATGGACCCTGCATGACAGGCATAACGGAATGTAGGTCCATACAGACCAAAGGTCCAGGACCTCTCTAGGTCCTGAACGCTCCAGTACAGTACGAAGGTCTATATAAGGGAATGGGATTTCATTACAATGTAGAGCTTCGTGCTCAAGAACAATCATTAGTTTCATTACTATAGTTACGAGAATTGCAACCAGTTACAACCTTATTGAATTCCTACTTGAAGTCTAGTCTAAACCACCTCGAGAGATCTCTAGACACTTCCACGTGACCCTAGAGGCAGCTCCCGTAACAATTATTTAGTGAACTAATTTAATTAAGTAACTAAAGCAAATAAGGGTTTTTTATATTTATATCTTAAATATTACATAACTATGTATAACTTCCCTCAGCTTTACCCCACCTATCTAGATGCCTTACGATGATGCGATCTACGGAGTTAAATGTTAATACTACTGATCCATTTATCTTACCAAGCTGAAATTCAAAACGGCTGTTAGGACAGACGCTTGGCGGGAAATGCCGAACGTGGTAGCTTTGCAACAACACATGACTACCTAGGTATCTGGCAGATAAAGTTCCCTTTGTATGGTATATATTGTTACGAGTGATAAAAGAGAACTCCTCCTGCTGTCATATTTTCCGTCATATCTAAACCGGACAGTCTCCAAAAAGTACATTTTGATAGCCTCTTGTTAAAGAATGGCCTGTATCACGTGAATGCCATACTAAAACCAATTAACACTAGCTCGACCGGCTAAAGTGCTTACTCGGTAGATTCTAGACTTAGGTACAATACAATCTTTCTTCTAATCTTTCATATATCCTACAACAATATCAAAATTAACAACCATCGATATTCAATACACTTGCCACAACACTATGGCGTGGAGACAACAAGGAAGTACTGGATCGAACAACATTCCTTTGGGAAATCGACGACGCTTCCCTGGCGATGGTGGATCTGCTCAAGAGGAAAGCTATAGCCCAGCTCCATCTTCCAATAATTATTCCTCCAACAATCACCAGGATTCAGGAATCAAACGTGGAAGAAGTCCAACTGTGAAGTGTAAGTCTATTATGCCCAATATCGCAATCAATCAGTCTTAACATTTTCTAGCCGAAGAACCTGCAGGCGATGGATCTCGACGTCGCAAGAAGAGAAATCGTTGGGGTGATGCCACTGAGAATAAGGCTGCAGGTCTCATGGGACTTCCAACTGCAATTATGGCGAATATGACAAGTGAACAACTTGAAGCTTACACTTTACATTTCCGTATCGACGAAATTACACAAAAATTGAGAATCGATGATGTTGTTCCAGCGGATGGCGATAGGTAAGGAAGCTCTTTCTATGCGTGCGCGTGCTTAACAATAACTAATTATTTTTGCTGCAGATCTCCTTCGCCCGCCCCTCAATACGATAACTTCGGTCGCCGTGTCAACACTCGAGAATACAGATACAGAAAGAGGCTCGAGGATGAGCGACACAAATTGATTGATAAGGCTATGAAAGTTATTCCTAACTATCATCCACCACAAGACTATCGCCGTCCTACTAAGACTCAAGAGAAAGTCTATGTGCCAGTCAATGACTACCCAGAAATTAACTTCAGTATGATTGCTAACCCTCTAACCTTTCTAACCTTATTCTCCCTTCCATATCCGTTTTCATTTATCGTGTGACAGTAGATGCAGCATTTGGAAGACAAATGCATAGCACCGTCATCACTAACTTGTCGTACTCACTGCCATTTTGCTCAAAGCTTTTGATCCTATACTAACACTTAGCTTGCGCTTTACTAAAGTTGGTTTACTTATCGGTCCTCGTGGCAATACATTAAAGAAAATGGAGACAGAATCTCAAGCTAAAATTGCTATCCGTGGAAAAGGATCCGTCAAGGAAGGAAAGGGTCGTTCCGATGCAGCCCACACCAGTAACCAGGAGGAGGATCTTCATTGTTTGATCATGGCAGATACCGAAGAGAAGGTCGAGAAGGCAAAGAAGTTGATCCACAACATCATTGAAACTGTAAGTTTCCGATGCTCTCCTCTGCTATCCTCTTTCAAATGCTAATTCACACCAGGCCGCCTCTATCCCAGAAGGTCAAAATGAGCTCAAGCGCAATCAACTTCGTGAACTCGCTGCTCTCAACGGTACGCTTCGTGATGATGAGAACCAAGCTTGTCAAAACTGCGGTGAAATTGGTCACAGAAAATACGATTGTCCACAACAACGCAACTTCACTGCCAATATTATCTGTCGCGTTTGCGGTAACGCTGGACATATGGCTAGGGATTGTCCAGATAGACCTCGTGGTGCCAATTGGCGTAATGATGGCCCTGCAGGTGCAAATGCTGTACCTGGTCAAGGTCGTATTGGCGCCGGCGATGCTGTCGACCGTGAATATGAGGTAAGCAAAAGCTCAATCTTGACTTCTATAGTATTAGGTATTAACAACTTTGTCTTAGCAACTTATGCAAGAACTTTCTGGTGGTGCCCCAGCTGCTACAGATGCTCCTCGTCGCATCGAATCTGGTCCATCAGGTTATGATCAAGGGCCACCAAAGGATCAAGAAGATGTCAAACCATGGCAACGAGGTCCATCAAATGCTCCTGCTCCATGGCAAAAAGGAAATGATGGGCGTGATGGGCGTGATAACCGGGATCCTCGTGATTCTCGCGACTCTGCGCCCTCTGGTCCTGCGCCATGGGCCAGACGAGGAGGTGATGACAGAGAAAGAGGAGGTTACCAGAATGGTGGATACAATGCTCCACCTTCTGCTCCTTGGGCAAAGCAATCGCAAGCACCAGCTGCACCAACTGGTCCTGCTGCTTATCCTGGCCAAAACGGTTATGCCCCTGGATATGGTACCTACCCTACTCAACCACCACCAATGGGTGCTCCTCCTGGTCTCAGTAGTATGCCAGGACCCCCAGGTCTTAGCACTGCCAGCATCAATGCTCTCCTTCAACAATATGCCAATGCTCCTCCTCCACCTCCTCCATCGAATTCTGCCCCTCCACCACCTCCACCTGGAAGTGCTCCTCCTCCACCACCACCAAGCGATCAGCCACCACCACCACCTCCTCCAGGAAACTAACCACTGTCTTCTCATGTAATCAAGAAGACTATCTTCAACTACCTTTCGGCCGGCGTGCAAAAAGCAAACATTCACTACGCCAGGTTTGAAATCCATTCAGGAAGGATACTAACTTAGGGACTTGTTTATCCATACACAAGGCTTCTTTGTGTTGACAAAGACAATGTTTATTATCGGGCCGATATTCTTCGAGTCCATTCACTTTAATTTTTCTTTTGATTAGTGCCTTGCTGCTAGTGTAACCATAGGAAAATGAATTATTTATGAATATCTTTGGCTTCTAAGATTAACGTTTGTGATGTGATGGAACTTCTTTTAAACATCTATCGAGTGACCCCATGCTTCCTGATCCCCTACCATTATGGCTAACTTGGTGTTGTTGAATTTTATCTACCTGTGGAGTCTCCGTGGTCCGATTCTGCAAATCCACAACTCAACTTCTCAACTATCCCACTCAACTATTCCAAGAGGTAAGATCTTCAAATTCCATCAGATTTCGTTTACAAATCCATGTAGCCAAAAGCTGATTGTGACATTTATTTAGATCGACACTCGTTCTTGGATTCTCCTTTTCACCTCCCTTCCCCCCTTCTTTCCAGCTTATAGGCCCCTCACTTTAAGACCCTTTTTACTTAAGGATTTACTGTCGCATTTATCCATTGCAAGGTGTCCAGTATGAAATTGGGGTTACCTGACAGCTCTTCCCTCTCCATGCCATTATCTGGTATCGTGAGGCGAAAGCTCCCACGCATGTTGAGGAAGTTGCACGAAGACTTCCAAAAGGCTACATAAATTTGTTTCATGATAACTTTCAACCACAACCGCAACCACAACGCAGAAGCTCTCTTGTACGTGTTCACAGTGAGGCTTTCGTTGTCAGGTTGGTTGTATCTTGGGCCTTTCGAATAATTGGATATCTTCCTGGTATTGAATGTAAAGGATTCGATACACTTCCCAAGTGAATAAATGAGCTTGCCATGAACTTGGATCTTACAAGTGTATGGAAATTGTGTTCCTAAACTACTTACTATTTTGCATGGGAAGAACCCTACACCAACAACGCCACCAAAAGTACAAACTTAAAAAGGACATCCAAATTACTCAACAGATAACAAAATCAATCCTTCGATTTCTTAGCTCTCTTCACCTTATTTGATTTTTTGCCAGAAATTGGTGAAGTCCTCTTCAAACTCTTCTTCCCTTCAGTCGTATCCGATTTATCGCGAGCCGGCTCAAAATCCATCAATTCATCCCAAAATTTGTCGTCTTTCGCTCCATCATCCTCATCCTCCTGCTCAATCACAGGTTCCACCACATATTTCTTTTCATTGAATGTGACCCTGGGTCTCGAAGCTGGCTTTTTGCCTGCAAAACTCCATTTCTGTGGTTGAGCACCATATCCGGCGATTTGATAATATGTATCGGAATCATTTAGAGGGTCATCCTCGTCTGGCTCCAAGTCAGGCTCCGATTCTTCTTCCTCCTCTTCATCAGGTATAGGATTCAACGCATTCTCTTCGGCTAGTCTTTTGAGCTCGGCTTCTCTCTTCTTCTTCTGTGCGGGTGTTAACTTCGCGTCTGCTCTTGTTTCTCTACCTGTAGCCGGAGCCGGAGCAGGCGGATCTTTTTTGTCGGTAGGTATTTTTGGGATTATAATTTCCGGCTTGTCATTATTACTGCTCCCTCCCGGAACTGCAATTGCTCCAGCTCCACCTCCTGGTGGTGGCGGTGGTGGTTGGTTGTTACCGTGATGATGGTCATCTCCTCTACCTTCCGCCTCTTGCCTGGCTTTTTCAAGGGCGTCCTTCCTAGCTTGCTCCGCATCCTTTTTAGCTTGCGCGGCTCGTGCTTTCTCAAGAGCTTCTGCGGCTTGCTTTGCTTCTCTTGCTGCAATATTTCGAAGTTTCGTTGCTTGCGCTTGAAGAGCAATTCTTGTCTTGATGCGTTTCATTCCAAGTTTAGGTCCCTCGCCAGCCACTACATCATCATGTTAGTCATATAGAATATGAGGAGTAAGAGTAGAATAAACATACTTATATCGTGAGCAGTTTGAAGATCAGCCATCTTTTGTTTATTTCCTTCATTTTCAGCAATTGCTGCATCTCTTTGTAATTGAAGAGTTGCACTAGATTCTTCAGCTCCTGCAAGTAAAGCTTCCAATTCAGCAATTCGAGCTTCGAGCTCCGTAACTCTCAGGGAATCATCTGGTGCAGGTTCTGGAGCGCCTGGTTCTGGCGGTCGATCCAAAAGTTCCTGTCTATGCTTTCGACACTCTCTCAATTTGTCTTGAAGATCTGTACGTTGATCTTGAAGAGCTGCTACAATCTTCTTTGAAACATTAAGTTGTATTTCCATATCTTGATTCTTACTCTGGAGCTTCTTGAGATCTTCGGTTTGTTTTCTGAGCCTTTCGATATGCTGCTTGTTGATTTCTTCATTGGAATCATGTGATGTAATACTGGCAACATCTATATCCACATCATTCGCAGCATCATCCAATTCCTTTTGATGTGCTTCTGCAGCTCTCTTTCTATCCTCTTCTGCTTTCCGATCTCTTTCGACTTTTGCAGCTTGCAACTCTTCTTCGATTGCCGCATTCTCAACTTCAAGCTGAGCGATTCTTTCTTTCGCAGCAGCTTCTCCATCATCATGTTGATGAAGACCGGCATACTCTTGTAATTGTCGAAGTTGATGTTTTCCTCTTCGCTGACAAGCATCAAGCTCCGCTTCGAGTTTGGTAATGGTTATTTGATCATCATCATGATTTCTTTTACAATCGGCTAAAGTCTTTCTCAATACTCGTAGACCTTGTGGTGAGATACCATTCGCATTTAATCTAGCTTCATCAAGTCTTGCTTGAATATCTTTGATCTGTTGTTCATGCCTTTTGCTAGCATCGGAGATTTGTTCATCCAAAAGAGCGATTCTCAAGTCTCTATTTTCAAGGTCATCGAGAGCCTTAGCAAGGGGTCCATTAGCAGCGACTTCCTCTGGAACCTTTCCTTGCAACTCTACGTTCTCCTTTGTGAGAGCATCGATTTTCTCTTGCATGGTTGTTCTGAGCCCAATGTTTACACTGTTCAAATTTGTGATTTGTGTTCGCAAATCGTCAATGGTTGTTCGTAGATTTGCAATGATCCCATCGCTTTCTTGCTTTGCCGCAGTTCGTTGAGCCTCGGATTTTGCTATGATTTCATCATGTTCCTTCTTTATCTGGGCCAACCGAGCCTCGGATCTTGCTATAGCCGCTTCATTCTCTTTCTTTGCCTCAGCTCGTGCATCCTGAGTCCATTCTAAGATATCAGTGAGTTCTTTCTCGGCCGCAATTCGTCGAGCTTCAGATTCTGCCAAGGCCGCATCACTCTCTTTCTTTGCTGCAGCTAGTTCAGCTTGAGTCTTTTGTATAATTTCATGTCTCTCTTTCATCACTTCGGCTAATTGAGTCTTGAATTTTGCAACCTCCGGGTTGGCTGTCTTAGACTCTTTTTCCAGTTGATTTACAAGCGTGTCAATCTGGGCTTTGTAATTCTTAGACTCTGTCTTCAATTGCTTCTTGAGCTGGGCTATCTCTTCTTTTTGAGCTGCTTTCTCGGCTTCACCTTTGGGATCATCTGGGTCACCTGGATCATCGGGATCATCGGGATTGACATAGTTGTCTATAGACTGTCTGGCTAACTCGTTATCGATATAATGCTCGAGTGCGATAATTTTTTCTCGGAGGTCTTGTTTTTCCTGTCGATTTTTGTTTATATTGTCGTCAAAACTAATCATCACTGTCAAGGATTTGATTTTCGCGTCTCTCGTAGCAATATCTTCGTGAAGATCTTTGATAGTCTCTTGACAAAGGTGCATGTTCTTTTCGTGAAGTATGTTTTGATCCATGAGATCTTTTAGCTGCTGTTCTAAGTTCAACTTTTCTTCGTTCGAAAAAACACCAGATCCGGTGGCTTCGACTCTTACTATCTTCGTCGCTTTCAGTTCGGCTGCCTTTAAAGCTTCATTGAGTCTATCTCGCTCGAGATCCATTGCTGCAAAGTCTAATTCGTATTGTTTGGTTTGCTCCCCCATTGCTTTTCGTTCTAATACTAGCTTCTTTACCTCTTTCTGTAGAAGCTCAACAACCCTATTTTTTGTGGTAATGGAAGCATTTGCAGCAGTTATCTCAGCCCGGAGCTTCTTGTCCAATTCCTGCTTATTGTTGTCGTCTGGATGAAGTATAACATTTCTCAAGCTATTCTCCAGCTCTTTTTCTCTAGCTTCTGATCCTTCTGCATTTTCATGATAGCTATCGAAATGTCTGCATAGTTCATCAAAAGCTTGATCGGATAGTAAAACTCCAGGGCTTAGATCATTTGAACTCGGCTTCAAACCTCTTGCCACTGCATCGATGTATTCGGTTTGTTGATAGCATTGTTTTGTAAGTTCATCCAATTTTGCCCGACATTGTTTCAATTCCTTATCCAATCGATCTATTTCCGCTGCTTCTTTGGCACAATCTTGATCAGGGGGACGTGTACCGCGAGCCAGAAAGAAATCTCTCCTTTCTCTTTCCAACTTTTCCATTCGTTGGGAAACTTCCTTTAGAGCCTCTTGTGTTTTTATATACTCTTGCTGTACTCTTCGATCGTAACTCGAACCCGCATTACCATTCCCCGATACGTTTTTTGCGAGTTCTACCATTTCAATGACCTCCTGAACAAGTTTGCTGAATTGCTGAGGTGTACTATGATTACGTCTTAGATTGATGACGGGCTCTTGAGTATCCGAATCATATTCCACATCCTCCGCTTCCCGTTGACTTTCTTCCTCTCCCAACGCTTCACGAAGAACCCTCAAAGTCGTCGTAATAGCCGCATGCCAATCCGCAACCGCGGTTCGAAATATCGCCGGATCCATATCTTGATTCGAACTTTCCTTCCGAGTCGTGAAATAATACTGTGTCGCTCTTCGGAACTCTAAAATATACTGCTCAGAACGATTGCGTAAGCCCCGCCACACACGACCTTTCGCTCGGTAGGACATCGCTTGTTGATGTCCTGCCACTATCATCTCCCTCATCCTGATACATTGATTGCTGATGAATTGGATACCGGAATCGTCGATTACGCGCCCGTGTTCGTTGATGGCATCCACAATCTCTTTCAATACTGCGGCCCATTCATCTCTTTTCATATCTAATGATACTAAACTCCCTTGGGATAAACCACCGCCAATTGGAATTTCTTGCTCCTTGCGCGCGAGGATATCTTCGGTCTTCAATCTTTTCTCCTGCTCCTCTTGCCAGAAGGAATAATCTGGTTCGACATTACCGGCCATTTTGAAGAGGTGCAGCGTGATAGCTAGCCGTATGTTTGAAAGATTGATTCGTATTAATTTTTCGTTGAATTGGTTGTTAAAGTACACCAGCGACCCATGAATATATCAATCAATCAATCAGATAGTATAAAATAATAGAAGCTACTTATCGAATCGCTTTTCCCTTTGTGATTCTCATATTTTCAAACCTTGATGCAGCCGATTTTTCAGAAGATGAGAAATATCTTTGTTTTCCTTTGTTGGGATAAAGTCTCTTTGAAGTCGGAATACATTCTTCTTCACGAAAGACAATTGATCTTTTGAGGGAAATCGTTCTAGGAATTTGGTAAGTGTGATGCTTGAATGGATTGAAAGGAACTTTTGTGTTAGGCGTCTCTGTGTTGATGAAAACGGCGAAAGAGAGATTTTTTAGTGATACGCAGTATCATGGTGGAACTGGTGAAGATGCGGATTGAGGATTATTGGAATTGTGTGGTACTTGAATCGAGTATTTTTGATTAATTAGTTACATGTATTTTAGTTCCTGTCTTGTAGATGGAGATAGGAATCGAGATGATTATATCAATTTACCCAATGCCAGATAGGGGGACACCACAACCCAATCAATCCCCTAAATAAATCCATCAGATCATACAATTCTTCACCTTCGAATCAAGGGATTAAATTCAAATCAGATTAGACCCCAAGAAAACAATTAAAATCCAGCAATCCCCTAGCTTAAAGCTTCAAAAATTCTGAGTTGGATTTTTCATAACATGATTATTTACCTGACCGAACGAGTAATTCTTTACTCCCTAACTATACTCAATATCTAAACATCAAATCAGACACCAGAAAATATTTTCAGAAATCCAAGAGTCTCACGACCCTAAAGCTCCAAAACTTCCACAAATAGATAAATCGAAACCTATAACTAACCACTCGTCTCCGAAACCGCGTGATCATCCGTCCCCGTCCCCTATTTAACCGAATAAAAGGTTGTGGAGTAGGAGTTACACGAACTAGGGTGTAGTCTATGACCATATGGAGATTTTACGCTGGTTTTGCACGAAGTTTTAGGATTTGTGATGAGTGCTCGTGCTCGGGATTTTCTGTGGTAGTTTTGTGTAATCGAATAAGAGGGGGGATATGTTTCTGGTGACGAATTTAAATCCTTCATGTTTATCAGAGGAGCGTATCATGATTATATGATAGTATCGAATCGAATCGATTTGAATCGAAAGCAACACATGCCAATTTTTAAAAACTCGAACAGTATACAATTTGAAGTTTATATCTGATCTGGACCTTCTGGGACTGTAGGATATCTCTAGTAAGTGGTATGTTTTCATGTGGAATGAGATTGAGGCTTCTGAATTACTATTACTTTATGACTGAAATGTGACGGGAGTGTTTGAAAGAGATCATGAAGATTCTCGGGATGTTTAGTGACGATGGACGTATTTGTGCGGCTGGGAATTTATCTTTTGGGATTGATGTGATGGGTTTTGGGCAGGCACTTTGTTTATCTAGTTATTACCCACCAGGTATGATACGTCGACAAAAGAGAAATATTCAGATTACATACATGGATGAGACACTTCCCAGCTATCGAGATGTTTAACAAATTTATGCTTCAATTGTTTGATATCAGAAGGTATAATGTGGTTCATATACGAGTGGATTATATCATCAAATGAATTACTTGAAAATACACTAAAATTAATCATTTTTAAAAGAAAAATTATTAAAAATAATAGTAAAAACGAAATATTTATAATATTCAGATTTTTTTTAAAAAAAAAGAAATTTTAATTCGAAATTGTTATATTTTTTATTAGAAAAACTATTGTTCTTTAATAGTTTTAATAACACTTAGAATTTTAAATCAGAATTAAATTTTTAAAATAATTGAAAGATTATAATTTATATAAAAGATTCTCGAATAATTTTATTAATTAATAAAGAAGATGTATAATTATATACAGATAAATTTATATATGAATTGAGTGATCTATTCGATGATATGATCTACTCATATATGAACCACGTTAATTTGAGTATTTTAGATCAAATAAATAATTATAATAATTCCTAAAATAAATAAGTTAATATGTCAAGAGATATTCACAAGTTCATTTTTATAGCATCCTGTTAGTCTATATATTTACCAATAATCTCTCATTAACATCCAATACTCCTACAAATAACACAACCTCAAACCACCTCTCCCATCTACAGATCTCCTCACCCCCTCCCCTCCCAAACCCCCTCCAAAGCCGCAACATACCTCCCCCTATTCTCCTCCCCCACCACATGACCACAATGTCCCGTCTCCGCAAACCTCACCCTCCTCACCCCTTCCCTGCCTCCAAATCCCTTCCTCCGCGCCTCTTCCACATCATCTTCCACATCCACCCACCTCACCATCTCATCCCCCTCACTAAAAACATACAATCTCCTCGCATCCCTCTCGAAAATCCGTTCATCATTAAGATCCCTTCTAATCCTCTCTATCACATCTATTCCCCCAAAAAGTTTCAACAAAATTTTATACCCCCCCAACACAAAATACAAAAAACTCATACATAGAAAATGCACAATCCACAATCGTGGGAAACCATGTGAGAAGGCGGATACAGTTGCTTTGTATCTGAATCTTCCAGGGGAAGAATCAAGAACTAGTGAAGTGATGGGAAGAGATCTCCCTAGTTTTTAATGGAATTCGCGCGCGAGGAATGAGAGTGTGAAGGCGCCGCCGTTGGAGAAGGAATGAGCGAGGAGTTTGGAGGTGGCGGGAAGTTGGGAGAGGATGTTGAGAGCGGGGGTGAGACGGATGAGGGAATTGGAGGAGGAGGAGAAGATGTGCAGAGTGGAGGTGGTCAGGAGGAGGATGGGGGTGTGGGGGTGGAGAGTTTGGTAGAGAGTTGTGTATTTGGAGATGTGTTTTGGGGAGGCGTTGAGCCAGGAGGTGAGGAGGATTAGATCGGGGGATTTGGGGGAGGGGGAGAGTCTTGATGATGAGGTGGTGGATTCCGAGGGGTCGTGGATGTAGATACAGGGGGATAGACGTGTGAAGTCGGATAGGGTTGTCATGATGATGGTAATTTTGAAGGTGTATAATTCGAAATCTGAATTATGAAGAATTCTGAATTGAAAATAATGGTGCAATGGTTCGTTCCATACCATATTTATATTGTTTATATAAATAGTCCTCTGGGATTATCTTTCTATTAGGAAGTCTCCTATCTTAATATAAGCGTGGAGCGGAGACGGAACGCGGGGGTGAAATCCTTCCGAACATGAGATTATCACCTGTCACTCGCCAATGGAAATGGCATTATGTTTGTTAGATAATGAAGTCAAAACTAATCCAACAATATCTTGTCTGTTGAATTATATCTCTCAGAATACTTGACCTTCGCCCATAATCCCAATAAGGTTAATCACCTGATCCAAGTTCAACATCGTGATTATACCATGTACCACCATCCACATCATCTCCATCATCCCAATACTCAATTAACCACATCACCACTCAACTCTCCATCCTCTCCATCTCCAATCATCACTCTTTGTTGTAATTCAAATCCAATTCCACAAACCTCCTTCCTTCTCCTAGCAAACATTCCATATAAACCCAACCAAATCGTTCGATCCCTACAATCCGTCGCTCCAAACCATTCACTCGCAACACAATCCGGCATATATCTATTCAATTCTTCTTTCGTTGCTTGAATCCAAGGTTTTGGTATTGGCCAATCTGAAAATGGCATATATTTCGCTTCTGCCAATGCTTTTTCCGCATCCCAAGTATCTTTCACATTGCCCAAATATTCTTCATGTGATTTGCGTCGGAGTTCTCCCGAGAGAAGATTATAAGGACGAGATGGAATTGCTAAGATACTTGGGGAAAATATTGTATTCAATATATCCATCTCGTTTTCATTCGGTCCCGCATGTTGTACTGCTGATTCGATTCTTGGAAATAGGTTGGTCGAAGGATGTAATAATAATAAATGAGAGGAATATGCCCAATTGCTTGGTGGTCCAAAATACGTATATGGCATCGCGACCGGAGCAGATGGCAATAGGAATAGTTCATCCATATTTCGAAGATAATTCGCATCTGCATCGAGATGTAAAACTCGATCATATTGCGTGAGATTGAATGCAAGAAGTTTGGTATATGAACCTGTCCATGTTGACTGTTCCGTATGGTTCTGATGTAGAACATCCACCGGTTGTAATGTAACGTAACACTCGGTTTGTGCTTGTTTTGATAATCTGGCAATGGGCGTGAGAGGGTTGGAAGGAAGATTCGTATCGATTTCTTCAACATTCCAATGTGATGGATATAACATTAATCGTTGAGCTCGACTCCCGATAGTTTCGACTTGCGACCAGAGCATAAGTGCACTGCATAGATATTCAGGCGAAGTCACATATTGAACATATGCGAATTTGAACCAGTCAATCGCAGGATCCTCAACTGTCGTTACGGGACCTGGCATTGGAGGAAATACATCACCGTCATGATTGTGAAGAAAGACATATCGAACGACCAGAAAGATGAGTAAAAATATAGATGACAATTGAAAAGTAGTGGAAGATATTAAAACTCGTAATCGACGAGTATAAAAGCGAAAGCCTGCCATACAGACATTTGAATATGAAAGAAGGATAATAACATGTCCATGTCTATTCTGGAGATTTTCCCTTTTTCCCAATTTAATAGCTGCTCGAACTCTTTAGTTAAGTTAGTTAAGTGAATATTAATTAATTATTGATTGTTACGGCTAACTTGTCCGATAAACATCAACACCAAGACGCTAAGAAGGCTAGAATGTAAGGTTAATTCTTGGCCCCTGATTCCCGGAGGTTAAATAGTGTGTGATATCTTACCGCTTTGAATCCGTCACAATGTCAATAAACTCTCAATTCGAATGGATGAATGAACGATTTGAATTGAGGTTTCATTGATTCATCTTTTTCATTGCCCTTTTCGAATCATAAACGGGATACTATGGGGGCAAGCCCCCAAACCCCCATTTCCTCGCTGCGCTCGAGTTTAGGGAGTTATATATCATTGTCAGGGTAAATTGTATGTATGATAATCTTATATGGAGCGGATCAACCCAAGTGGGATGGATGTGGCAGAATAAAGGTAACGAGATTCATTGGACCATACAAATTGACCCCTTTCGCACTCAAGGAATTGCGATTTGTCAATGAGCCAATCTTTGAACCGGTATTCGGAAATCGGCAACGGGGATGGACACAATTAAAGTATTGCTCAGGATAATAGTTTTGTCATAGGGCTCGTAGATTATCATGATGCTATTAACAAAGTCGCTACTGAGGATTATCCTATTTGGGACGAACATCTCAGAACCCCTCGCTATGAACATCTCAAGTGAGCTTTTTTATCATTCCATGGCGTTGACACACTGAAAAAGATCTCCCTGTTTAGACATATCCTTCACTTATCGTATTCTTATTATCATTCCATGATATCACCAATCTACCCCATTTTCAATTCTAAACCTCATTCACCTCAGTCCCCAGAATTGCAGTACCCAATATCAGATAAGAATGCCGACATTCGACTCTTGGTATGGCAAGTCTGCCATCAGAGCTTCGAATCTGCATTCTAGAAAAATGCTTCACATCTCTGTTGTTCACGGAAACCCGAATGGGGATCTCCTTCTTTGATCCAGGAAAATCTCTGAAGCTATAGCGATTTTCTATCTTAAGTAATTTTTGAGCTCTTAGTTGATCACAAATATCATTGTATGGTTCACGTTACGCACTATTAGCTCATGGAGACTGGAGCTGGATTAAGTGTAAATCTCCTTCTACTTTCCACCTCGTAAAGACCATAATCCTCACATGTACGAGTTCAACCACTAGTCACTATCACCAAAGTCGAATAGTCAAATGCGAGTACCCAAGTTTGCTTACATTCCAAAATTACCATCTACATATGAAGCCAAAGTTCACCTCACATAGCTCTTCTCCAATATTCCCAAACTTCAGCCCGATCGTACAGACACAAGACAACTAGACATTGTTCCTTTCGTCAAAAACATATCCTTCAATTTCCGACACACACCTTGATTCTCACATACTCGCGATACATCTCTCGTCATCAGTGTAACTGACAAACTCAACATCCTACTCATTCGCCCAACAACAACAACAACAAGTACCATAACATTTGTCAATATATCTCTATTACCAGTAGCAATGATGACTTTATACTGTAGTCATCGATCACGATATATCCAGGGCGTTAGCCTCATTCTCACCCTTAGTCGTGGAATCGAGCTGCCCTCCAAGTTCCTGCTTCGGTGTATACTTTGTGCAACTATCTCCATCTCCATCTCCATCTCCATCTACCCATCAAAACCATTCAACGTCCTAACCCAAATCTCGAGAATAAAACCACTACATACAATATTTAATCAACAATAATAAATTAATCATAACATCCTATGCTATTCCCTCACAAATTCCAATCAACTTATAAACCCAATCTTTCAATACGATATCAAAATATTATTCCCGAAGACTCTTATTTATGATTCAATATAATCCCAATATGATCTGATCCAGTTACTTCCCAACTCTCCTTTCCTCTCCATTTTTTAAATCATTACTCGCCTTTCCTCGTTTTTTAACTCTCAACTCTCTTTTTATTATTCATATGTAGAAAAATATCTCAACTCCAATTCCATCACATCCCTTCATATTCCTCCTTCTCTTGTACTCCTCCCTCCCCCAATCCATCCTATCACCCCTCTACATTCAAAACAGCCCAAACCAAACCAAGCCAAGCAAATCCAAATCCAAAGAACATAACCTTCACATACCCAAATAGATAAATACTAACCTACTCATTACCTACCTATCAATCTACCCACCCAGCCACCCAAAGAACCCTTCACAAAAGAACCCCCTCTCTTCCTCCCTCCCCTCTCAAATTCTCAACAAAATCCCAACTCTCTTCTCCCTCCTCACCCCTCAAAAAATCCCCTCTTGGAAAAGAAATCCCATCCCAGCATCCCAGCATCCCAGCATCCCAGCATCCCCTCATCCGTCCTCCTACTCCTCCTCCTCGAATCACCAGCCCTCCAGAAAACCCTCTACCAACAAACCACCTCCCTCCTCACCTCACCAACCCCCAAAAACATTTTCCCCCTCCACACCAACAAAATCGCCTCCTTCCATCTCAAAAAACTACCCACTCTCCCCTCCTCACATCCTCACCCCCCCCCGAAAATCTCATCCTCCTCCCAACCGAAAGAAAATTCCTCCAAAACATCAACCCCAATTCCTCGAAAAACACCCCCCTCTTCCAAAAATCTCATCCTCCTCCTCCTCCCCCCGCCAAAAGAAAACCCCTTCTCCCCCAAACTCCCTCCCCAACAACCCCCTCATCAAAACTTCCTTCGTCCCTCTCTCCTCCATTCTCAACTTTTCCCCAAAATCCCCTCCCCAACAGTCCCCCACCATAATCTCCCCTTCCCTCTCTCTTCCTCCTCGTACTCTCAGAAAACCCTCTTTCCCCCTCACAACCCCCTCTCCCCCATAAAAAAAAAAAACAAAAACAAAACAAAATCCCCCTTCCCAACAACCACTCCTCAAAAGCCCCCTCCTCCATCAAAAACCCCTTCCCTCCAAAAAATTCCCCCCGAAGAACCAAAAATCAAAAACTCGCTCCCTCGCGTGGGGTCGAACCACGAACCTCTCGATACCATATTTAACAGTCGAACGCGCTAGCCAATTGCGCCACGAGGGACATTTACATTTACACTGGTTGTTGGGGCGGGGCGGAATTTATAAATCTATATTATATAACATGAGAGTGGGTTTGTGTGGGGGGGGGGGAGATGGATGGATGGATGGAAATTATTATTTGTGTGAGATTTGTGTCATGTGTGCAGTGGGGCGGAGTGAATTGAATGGAGTGAATTGAATGG